TCTTTTTTTTTTTTTTTTTTTGAGACAGAGTCTCACTCTGTCACCCAGGCTGGAGTGCAGTGGCGCAATCTCCACTCATCGCAGCCTCCAAACCTCCACTGCCTGGGTTCAAGCAATTCTCATGCCTCAGCCTTCCTACGAAACTGGGACTACAGGCATGCACCAGCCTGTAATTTTTGTAATTTTAGTAGAGACAGGGTTTTACCTTGTTGGCCAGGCTGGTCTCGAACTCCTAGCCTCAAGCGATCCACCCGCCTCGGCCTCCCAAAGTGCTGGGATTACAGGCGTGAGCCACCGCGACCGGCCTGACGCTTTTTGAATTCAAGTCTAACATGTAACTGTCCTGAAATTCACAAAAGCGTCAGCCACAGCACACCACTGCCTCCGATCCCCTGCATCCCTGCGCATGCCCTAAAGCCCCTGTACCCACCTTCTCCCTCTGAAAAGACCTCTGCTTGTTCTCCTGTGCATCTACCTGCCCTGAGGGACTGGGGACTGCCCCCATCAAGTGGAACTTGGACAGTCAATCTGGTGATCAACGGCCTTGCCTCCCACCTGAGTCAGTCCTGCCACCTGCTGGAATCCCACCCCTCAGAGACAAGGTCGGCAGCAGGCAGCGTGAATGGGAATCAAGGTTGGAATGGAGGTGGGGCTTCTGGTGGGGGCCGTCTGGGTCTCCGTTCCAGGCAGAGCCTCTCACCAGCCCATGGTTGGCTGGAAGAGACCCAAGAAGCTTGCAAGTAAGCCTGTCAGCCAGCCAAGACGCCCCCGGGACTCATGCCCTGGGAAACTGCCTTGCGCACAGGCTGTGTCCTCTGCAAACGTCAGGCATGGAGGAGGCGGCTGGACAGCAAGCCCCTCCACAGGGGACCTGGGGGGTGCCTGAGGGCTGGGCCACTCATCTCTGGGCAGTGGCTGAGGGTCTGGGTGCAGGAGAACTGGAAGATGTTTACAGGAGCTGAGGGACACAAAGGTAGTGGCCTGAGCAGGGAGTGGCCGGGCACACAAGCATTACACCTCCATCCCCAGCACCCCTCCACATGTGCATCTACCGAAATCTTGGACCCAGCCCTGGCTGGCTGGATGGAGGCTGGAACCTGGGCTCCAGTGAGTGTAAGGATGGCAAGGGTGAGTAAGATATTCACTCATTCAGCCATTTATTTATTCAGTGATTCATTCATTCATTCACTAATTCATTCATTCATTCACATATCCATGTAGCCCGTTCTCTGAGCCTGGTGCTGGGGAATGCAGCGCCCTAGAGAGATACAAACTGTGCCCCATTTGAAGCTGGCTTTCTAGAGGAGGTGGACAACTCTCTCTAAAAAGAGAAATAAAACTGAGAATTTTAGATACACAAAAGTACTGTCCAGCCTAGGTACGTAGTGAGACCCTGTCTCTACAAAAATTTTAGATTCAATAAAGTTGAAAGAACTAAGAATGAGGACGGGGAGACTTGAGTTAGGGTGGTCAGGGAGGCGTCTTAGAATAGAAATTATTTGAGCTGGGTGTGCTGGTTCATGCCTATAATCTCAGCACTTTGGGAGGACAAAGAGGGCAGATCAACTGAAGTCAGGAGTTCGAGACCAACCTGGCCAACATGGCAAAACCCTGTCTCTACCAAAAATACAAAAAATTAGCCGGGCGTGGTGATGGGCGCCTGTAATCCCAGCTACTTGGGAGGTTGAAGCAGGAGAATCACTTGAACTTGGGAGGTGGAGGTTGCAGTGAGCCAAGATTGTGCCACTGCACTCCAGCCTGGGCTACAGAGTGAGACTCTGCCTCAAAAAAAAAAGGCGGCCGGGCGTAGTGGCTTACTCCTATAATCCCAGCACTTTGGGAAGCAGAGGAGGGTGGATCACGAGGTCAGGAGATAGCGATCATCTTGGCTAACATGGTGAAACCCCATCTCTACTAAAAACACAACAAAATTAGCCGGGTGTTGTGGCAGGCGCCTGTAATCCCAGCTACTCGGCAGGCTGAGGCAGGAGAATGGCATGAACCCAGGAGGCAGAGCTTGCAGTGAGCCGAGATGGCACCACTGCACTCCAGTCTGGGTCACAGAGAGAGACTCTGGCTCAAAAAAAAAAAAAAAAAAAAAGGCTGGGCGCTGTGGCTCATGCCTGTAATCCCAGCACTTTGGGAAGCCAAGGAGGGCGGATCATGAGGTCAGGAGATCGAGATCATCTTGGCTAACATAGTGAAACCCCGTCTCTACTAAAAACACAAAAAAATTAGCCGGGCGTGATTGCGGGCACCTGTAATCCCAGCTATTGGGGAGGCTGAGGCAGGAGATCCCTTGAACCCAGGAGGCGGAGGTTGCAGTGAGCCGAGATCATGCCACTGAACTCCAGCCTGGGCAACACTATCTCAATAAAAACCAAACCAAAACAAAACCACATCTGGAGCGCTGGCTCCCTCGGGCTCCTGGGAACTGCAGAGGCAGGAAGGGAAATGGGAAGACCAGGGTGGGAGCTGGGGCAGGTGTCGCAGAGGGTTTGTTCCTGAGTTTTCAGGATTCAGGGACCTGGGATTCCTTCCATCAGCATCTGCTGAGCACCTCCTGTATGCAGGAATTGTACTCTAAGGCAGGGACACTGTGGTGATAAAGACACATAAAGTCCCCCAAACTCCCAGTTTCAGGCCAGAAGACAAGACCGGCTTTGATATGATAAATACACAAGGGCTCTGCAGACAAACACAGAGGAAAAAGGGGCCCAGGATGGGAGGGGAGGGACTGGGCCTGATCCTTCCGGGTCATCCCCATGGGCTGCCTGCTGTGTTCTCAGCCCTAGAGGAGGAGGTGGGAGCCCAGGGGTGACAGGCAGGCAGGGTAGCAGCTCCATCTTAAGCAA